CACACCAAAGAATGCCTGGACTTCCTTGAAATTCACATCTGCCCTGTGCCCCAAGGGCACTCGTGGCAATGTGGCCGAGACCCATGCGAGGGGGAAACTGCAGTCCACCCTGGATGAGAACAACTTTTGGGAAAGCAAGGTTATATGAAATTCAATGGAAATGTCAGCTCTACTCATATAATTATGGGAAACTTCTACTATCAGTTCTTCATCACCTTTAAGGAAATTGAGTGAACACATCTCATATATCTGATTTACTGGTAGTCTCGAAAAGCTAATCAATACCGGTAAAATACTGCCTGTAGCAACCTAAGTTTAGACTGACCAATTCCTAAAAAACTTTATTCAGAGAAAAAGTGTTTACTCCATCTTGCGAAATTTTAGGACGATACTAACGATAAAGAAGTGTTGTCTCATAAATGGTATGAAATTCGAATTATTTGTCTTGACTCTGGATAATTTATATCTGTAAGGACTTGCCACCACAACCAATATTGGTTAAGTTATCGACACAACCAGCTAGCAAGTAGTAAACATTCATACAGTAAGTAAACTTAGCTGCCGCATCGAGTTTTCCGTTTAAAAATATAGCATTCAAAGTATTTTAAGCTAGAAACTCCATAGATTGAGGACTGCTTTCCGCCACTTCACTTGTCCCTTGGCTAGCTATACTATAGTGAAAATTTGCCTATTTATCATTAATGTTAAAATTTCTTTGTTGCCTAACTAACTGAATATAAGGAATAGGATAAAGTACCCAATGTCCGAAAAATGTACTCCAATTAATGTATGCTAAAATGTCGTCGATTATTATTCTTGAACCTTCATTCAGATTCAATTAATAGCTCGACACGTTAGGCATTATGCCACATCGCCGATAGGTCAGAGGGCAAAAGAGAATTTCAAGATGTGGTAGGCAGTTAGCATATCATAGGTGTAGAGAAGGATTTTCGCTAAAGAAAACATGAGAATGTCATTTTATTTTGAGTATGTATACGCGAAACTTGGTTAGCCTATGTCGACTGGGGCGAGGAAGCACTGAGAGCGAGAGAAGTCACGGAGTGAACAAGTAATCGTTAGCAAGCCAATTTCTGTTTCAACTATCCTACTTGCCAATTTGTGTCCGATGACAAGGGACTTTACTTATCTGTCCTCAATAGAAGCATGGCAACTTTACTTACCCCTCGCATATTCGGAAACTATTTACATCTGAATATTCAACCTAACTTCTTGTAAAAAGCAATTGAGCAACATGTCGAATTCGATTTCCACTTTCAAAGCAAGACAAAGCCCTCCAAATGGACACAATATTTCAAAACTCCATTCCAATCAAAAGGAGGACGGATTTTGATATGTCTGTTATAGTGAAAATCAGGATTTCATTTTAATTCATCTCGAGCAAATTCGTTGTCACTGTAATTTGACTATAGATTGCTTAAGGTGATGCGATAAGCTCTGTGAATCTCACGATGCCATTGAAGCTCCCATAACTTTGCTTTCCAGAACATATTTTTGTCCAGGGCGGACGCTAGCTTCGACATCATCTTGTTCTCCTCAACGGCAAGCGAACCCGGGTAGTGCAGCGTTTAATTTCGACATGCTGCCCCATCACCAAGCTGTCACGGTGGCCAATTGACCATTAGGGCCGTAGCGAATTTCAAAGCAGGCTTGGCATCTTCCATAGCACATTTTTATAGCAGGATTGCCACTAAATAAAACGTGCATCTACCATTACAGTTAACAGCATTACTTGACACGATTTAGAGACTATCAGTAGATCTTGAATGAGAGCTTTTATCGCCCTAGTTAGTGGCAGGTGATGTAGGATCAGTATGCCCCACCTTTAATAAATTAAAATGACCAGAGCTCCTATTCAAAACATATTGCTAGTTTCGAAACCCTATTCAATCCGAATGTACTTTTTGAGAGTTTCGAAATGAACTTGGCGAAGTCATTTCTCTGTTCACCGTCCTTATCCACCAGCCAATATGATGTCAGGCATAAATAATTACTATCCCGTTCTCCATTCCTTTTTCTGCATTATGACTGTTATTTCAAATCATTTTTATTCACTTTATTACTATTATTGATATTTGTAGCTTTAAAGTGAAGGTGAGCGTCGAAGAATACCTCAATAGATTAATTGTGGCGCACCTCTCATTTCGGTTGAAGAGGCGAGCAAATTTTCGTAAACCAAGGTAATCTACTTTAGCATTGTTTGCAACATGACGGGCGTAGGTTTAGCAATAATTCATCAAGGTTACTGAAGGGCGTGAAGAAGACTATTTCGCTAAAATCGACAGTCACATCTCAAGGATCTCGTCTCTTCAAATCGAATGCAATGTATGTCAACGTCTTAGTTTTTAATAGATATCTTGGGTATCCTTTGTCTTCTTACTTCTTAGTTGGTTTACCTGGTCAACCTGGCTGGTATTTCTCAATATCAAATCCATCATGAACATGGTGAGCAACAGGTTTAATTGAGAATTGTAACTTGAAAAGAATTAACCGCACTCCAGCCTTTTATACCTTCCAAAATGCGCCAAATTTTGCTACCATCAAATCCAACACAGTCCTTTACTTTGTGTATACTGTGATCCTGTGATCCTGTCATCCTTTCTCTGCACCATTACAATTCCATTTCGTTGTTTAGTTGATGCTATTATATA